GAGTGGGCAAAAAATGAGTTTAATTTATTGAAAGCCCTAGCTCAAAGTACAATTTCAGATATTTTGAAAAGAAAGAAAGAATTTTATACAATGTCCACAAGTGATCTTGGAGTTAAAAGGTGTCATGTTGTTTTGTTTTCTAAATTAGATACTGCATTGGCAAATTGGATTTTACAATATGAAAATCATGCTGTATGTCTAAATAGAGATATGATTAAAGCCAAGGGTAAAAAATTAGCAGATTTAATGAAAATTCCAGAAAACAATTAGCCAGAGTTCTCGAATAAATGGTTGCAAGCTTTTCAAGAAAGATACAACTTTCATCACTTTAGGCTTTATGGTGAGAGCAGCTCTGCTGATCTTGAAGCTATTAAACTAAACTTTTCTATTATTATTTGCAAAACTGATAAATATTCTCTAAGAAATATTTATAATATGGATGAGACTGGATTGTTTTATTCTATGGCTCCTGATCATACTATTGCATCTCGTCAAATTGAAGAAGCAAAAAAAGATTGTATACGACTTACAATTACACTTACATCTAATGCTGATAGCACACACAAGCTTCGGTCCTTCATTATTGGTCATGCCAATAAACCCAGATGTTTTAAAAAAAAACTGGTGAACAACTTGGGTTTTATTATCATAATAATCAAAGAGCCTGGATGACCACTAAGTTTTTTTAGGTAATAATGCAAAGCTACATAAAAATGAATATTCAATTAAAAATGAATATAGTCGCACTCCTATATAATCACACTATCGGGACCCACAAAAGTGTTCTTATATAGAACACATACTTATAATGCTTAGTTGGTTCAAAAAATAAATATGCTTATGTAGGTGATGTACTTATATAGAAGCAGTGAAAAAAATTTGATGTGTGCATGTCGCTCCGCATATAAAAATTTTTTGCACACAAAAAAAATATAAAATTGTACGCAAAGCACACAATTTATTAGCAGTATATTTTAAATCATGTGTGCTATATAGTTAATAAATTAAAAGTGCACATTATATTTAATAATATGTGCGGCGCACAAACAATAAATTTAAAATTATGTGCGCAATGCACACATAATTTTGATTTGAATTTTTTTCTTTGTATAGGAGGTGCTTATATGGAAGTGCGACTGTATTAATTACATAAATAGTCTAGCAACGAGTAACAAATTATTGAAGAATAAAAAAAAAAAATTTTATTATTAACTTGTATTACAATTTTCAGGAATGGATTGAAGATTTTGACAAAGAAATAAGGAAATCAAATCGTAATGTTTTACTCATCCTAGATGGTGCCTCTTCACATGTTACTGGTGCTGTTACTCTAACTAATGTAGAAGTACTTAAGTTACTTCCATATGTAACATCAAAAATACAGCCTATAGATGCTGGTATTATTGCATCATTTAAGACTCATTATCGTCACATGCAACTTCAATGTGCACTGGATCTTGATGAAGCTAGGAAATGCGACATATATAAAATCGATCAATTGCAGGCTATGAGATGGGTAAAGGTTAGTGTTGGTATTTTAACTATGTTCATATTTTTTAAATACAGTAAATTTGAGCATAGTTTAAATATTATATATTCAATTAAAAATTGCTGCCATATCACCATGAAATAACGCCCCAGGGCATTATTTAGAAACACGTTGCTTGAAGAGAGCTAATAATTATTAATTCTTTTCAAGCAACGTGTCTCGAAATAATGCCCCAGAGCATTATTTCGTGATAATATGGTACGTTCATATTTTTTTAATTAGTCTAAATATCAATACTTTTAACACTAATAAAGGTTGCCTGAATGAAATATCTGCTAATACGATCAAAAATTGCTAGTTTCACACGAAAATTATATCTCCACATGATAAGGATGGTGTACTAGTTGTCCCACCTCCTCCACCCTCTTATCGAAGATGTGGAAGAAAGCTTATTTGTCGATCCAGATAATGAATTAGCCATTATGAAGCTCTAGCAAACGATAGATGCATTGTGCATTCGTAATCCAATGCCAATTAAAGATTTGTTAGACCTTGAGGAGGAAAAAACAGAGATACACCAACAATTTAATGATGATGACTTTGTACAAGCTG